CCCAGGCGGGTGTCGAACCTGCGGGCTCAGGCAATCCACTCACCTCAGCCTCCCAAAGGCGCGGGATTACAGGCTGAGCCACCGAGCCCGGCTGAGACTCCAACTTTGAAAAAAAAAAAAAAAAAATTATCTCATTGGCTATGCCGAGTTCAAAGGTAGCATACATTTCTACATCAGTTACAAATGACATTTCCTGGGAGTTTTGTTTGCATGTCTGCCCCCACCCCCACCGGACTCTGGATATCTGGAAGGCGGGGAATATGTTTGTGTCTCCAGAAGCCTAGCAAAGTACTTGAATGAATCTTGTAAATCTTTCTTTCAGTGTCTACTATAGGATTTGGCTTTGTGCTGGACATGGGATTTTTTGAGACAATAAAGCTCCTCCTTTGGGTTGTCTTCATAGATTGTGTAGGTGTTGGTCTTCTCATAGCAACTTTAATGTGGTAAGTACCATGACTTTGCCTTTTCAGATTCTGCTATGGAGTCTCTGTTTGTTGGCTTCAGAGGTCCAGTAGCTGGTGGAACTTGAAACCAAGATAGATGAACTGAAATACTCACTTTTCTGTGTTGGTACCTATATAAGAAAATACTCTAAGGGGTAGTCTGTATTGTCAAAGTGCTGCAAATAATTGAAACGATTATTATCACACTAACAAAATCCCTGATTTTGCAAAAAATGTTACATATAGAGCCAATTCTGCTTGAGTTGTTTGAGTGGTGGCAGAGTTTTCTGCATTTTCAGTAGGTAGAAATTGTAGTAGATGTAGAAATGTTTCGTGGTGTTTAGACCCATTTAGATCTAGAGAGTTATTTCATGGATTTTACGATTTTTGACATTAAATGAAATACAGTTGGAAAAGCATTTATTTATTTCTTTACTTATTCTATTGCCTTCCTGCTGAGAGTAAAATGCACATGTGCATGTGTGCACACACACAAGTTTTATTTGAAAGGGTTCTCGGTCTGATTTTGTCTAGGTTTGATTTAACAACAGCATTGTACTGAGTATAGACACGGTGTTTGGTTTTTCAGTGCTCTCACAGATAAGGTGCGCCTGTGTGGTTGGCATGCTGGGTGAAGGTAGGGGGCTGTGGCAAGTAGAGGGCCAGTGGTTGGGCAATGGTGGTGGTCACCGTCTGTCAGAGAAAACACTGTGGAACATTTTAGTCTCAGACCTGGGTCAAATGCCAGCTCCTTCATTTATGTGACTCTTAGGCCCAGTCTCCTCTTATCTAAAATGAGTAAATTATCTATTTTGTCAAGTTTTCAAGAGGATTGTGTATGAAAAATATCTGGCACATAGTTGAAGTGCTCAATATATGGTAGCTATTAATATTTTAAACAAAACTCTGAGATTGTAACTTATGATGATACTAACCTGTTACAGGCATGCCTTAGAGATATTTTCAGTTCAGTTCCAGACCGCTGCAAATACTGCAGTATTTGAGCAAACACTGCAGTAAAGCGAGTCACACAAATGGTTTGCTTTCCAGTGCATGTTAAAGTTATGCTGTACCGTAGAGTATCAAGTGTGCAGTAGCACTACATCTAAAAAAAGTGTACATACTTCAATTAAAAAATACTTTATTACTAAAAAAAAATGCTGACAGACATGAGGTAAGCTTGCTGTTGGAAAAAGAGTGCCAGTAGACTTGTTCAACGCAGGACTGGCACAAACCTTCAATTTGTAAAAAACACAGTATCTGTGAGGTGCAGTAAAGCAAAGCACAATAAAATGAGACATGCCTGTATTTTCCTTTGTAACTTCTGACTAGTATGGAACGGGTTTTGTATATGCTAGTCAATAAATGCTAAAATTCTGAAATCTGGCCTAAAATTAATACTGTTTACTAATATAAGGCACATGTTTACTATAAAAAAATCCATGAAAAACATCTTCAATAAATAAGACTTTCAGAGGAATAGTTTAGTTTATAGCTAGCATTCTGCTGTGAGTGCAATGATTCTGGAGGGCCACAGAAACGAAGTCATTCTGGGAGTCTGTTGTTTGAATTAAATTGAAAGGGACTCTATTTTTGAGAACCCATGTTGTGTGGTCAGTTGTATGAGGAACTAGAAGTAGAAATGATGCCATGTATTTGTGATCACCCCAGAGGTGCCACAGGAGCCAGCATGAGGGGGTGTTTTGGGGAGATGTGTGGTTGTTGACTCCTGGTACCAGGAACTGCAAGTGCAGTGGCATAGAAGGATGGGACACATGCTTGGTCTGGGAGCATAGGGTGACACTGAATGGCTAGGAAAGAGATGTGACTAGAGAAATTGGTCTTAATGCAATTCAGGGGGAAAATCAGACTTTATCTCATAGGCTGCATGTGGGGTTGGGAGGTAGAAGAGAGGTGGGGAGCTTTGGAGGCTTTGAAGTAAATAAG